CTGCTGAGTCATACTGGAAACACTGTAACTTTCCTGAGGTGAGGACATGACAACAAGAGGCCCAGGTTTCACTCACTGTCTTTGAAAAGTCTGAGCCAGGAGCTCAGGATGTAGCTGAACAACAGATCTCCAGCCTCGCAAGTGCAATGTCAAGAGTTCAATTCCTTGTACCAAAAAAGGTCCTATGCAAAGCACCTCCAGTGACCCCATGAGGCCTTCCAGGGAAGGCACAAACTATAACAATGGTAATGGGGGTGGGGGTGAAGAAATACAGTCCTTTCCCTTTTCCCCCTTGGCAAGGAGCTGACACTTATGCTCTGGAATCACTGGATTTTTCTCTCTCTCTCTCTTTTTTTTTGGCAGAACTGGGGATTGAACTCAGGCCCTTGCACTTGCCAGGGAAGCGCTTATTCCACTGAGCCATCTCCCTGGCCCTGAATCACTGGCTTTCTGGGAATGCTGCTCATGTCCACTGGGGGAAGAATAACAGGTCCAGGGTCTCTAAGGGCATCATCACAGCTGAATGTTGGCAGCACATCTTGTTGGACAGGTACATCTTGCCTAGAGGTGTACTAGGCATAAGAGCAGGCACCTCTAGTTGACTCAAAGCTATTGAAAGGCTGGCATCTAGCTGCTTTTTCTATATAGAATTCAGAGCCGAGTTCCCACCACCATGGTGAAATGATGTTATGACTATGCTGATAGATGATAATGAGGAAAACTGTCCAGCTGCTGCAAAATCAGCAAAGCTTCGTAGATAGTCCATCAGTTCTCAGAACTACTGCCACCCACCTGTCTGCAGGTCAAACTCTTGCACTAAAGAGGCTCCAAGGAACCATCTCTCCTGAGAGGCTATGGTGCAGTGCAGATCCAATCAAACATGAAAGCAGCAACAACACTGATGCTCCCCATCACCAGCCAGGGAATACTGGCTTTATGGGTAGCTTAAAAAATTTAATTCACACTGAGATAATTTAGGATGCACACAAAGCTGTTAACGGAGAGATCATGCATATGCTTTATCCAGTTTCACACAATGGATCAATTTTTGTTTCTTGTATTTTTAGGGAAGGGTCTACAGGGTATTCAGGGTCTCACTACTAGATCAGACTCAGTGATTTTCCTGTTTACAGCCTCCCAAGTGCTGGGATTACTGGTGTACACCACAATGTCCAGTCTCAATCGCCATCTGTGCAGCCTGGGGGCGGGGCTAGCACAGAAGGCCTGGGGTTCGAACCCCAGGCCCCTGTGCCTGCGTGTGGGTGCTTTAATCCACTGAGGTATTTGCCCAGCTGTTGGATCAATTTTTTTCTTTTTGTTTTGCAGAACTGGGGATTGAACTCAGGCCCTTGTGCTTGCCTGGCAAGTGCTTATTCTACTGAGCTATCTCCCCGGCCCCAACTGGCCTGATTTTTAAAACCAGCCAAAGCACTAGAACAGTATCCAAGGTTTCTGAAACCAATAGGAAACCCAAAGGGGATGCTGAATGAGGGATGGCAACTTCTCTTTTTGCCTTTTGCATTTATGCCCGCTATATGTAGTCCTTACTTCTACACTGCAATTCTTTATCTTTATGAATCTCTTGCCCAATAATAGTTTACTATGTTCCTCAAAGCAGAGACCATGTTTTACTATCTTTGAATTCTTTGCCCCACCAAAAGGCCTAGCACATAGTACAGGGGAGGCAGGGACTAATGGTATAGAGTTCATAAAAAAAAAAAACAACTGTCCAAGTCTTATGCATTCTTTCCAGTCAATAAAAAAATGCTATGCATAACCTTCTGTTTAACTTTCATGTGAAAATTAGATCTGTAGTTATGATTTTGTTTTTTATGGTACTGGAGATTGAGGTGTTACTACCCTTCACATTGAGCTACATCTCCACCCTTTTTATTTTTAATTTTTTTATTTATTTTTTCAACAAATAATACACTGCATATATTCTTCTTAGTGGTTAATTGCTGTACAAGATGAGGACTTGTGACCCTATTTACAAACACCATTAGAACAAATCATTCTATTCATTAAGAGAATGCAACTATATATCTATCCTAACCACTTTGAATACACAGATACAAAATGGACATTCATAGGTATACCCCATTTTTTCTAAGTTCCGTTATTGAATATTATAGGTGTGTAAACTCAGCAAAATATTCTAAAAGAGCCCAGTAGCCCATAATAGCATTGGGTCTTCTGTTTAACTGGCAATGTCAGAAATTATTGACCTGAGTCCCCCACAGCTCAACTTAACAGCATGGCCACCCTTTTTATTTTTAGAGATGCGGGTCTCACTAAATTGTGTAGGATTGGCTTGAAATTGAGATCTTCCTGCCTCAGCCTCTCAAGTAACTTGAATTACATGCATGTGCCACTGCACCCAGCACATATATAAATCTTAATAGACATATTGTGCTCACTACTCATTCACTCATCAGTTAATATTTAATGGGGTCCTATTAAGTATCAAGTAGGATATTGGGTGCTGAGGATATGATGGCAAATAAGACCAATATGGTCCTAGTCCTTATTCTATACTCTAACTTACAAAACAAGTATTGCTAATCTTAAAATAGCAATGTTTTCTGAATGACATATGGAGCTATATACGGTGTGCTTTGCATCTTGAGACAGTGCCAGAGTATATCCAAATAGGCCTTAAAAATGGAATCTGTTGTCAAGTAATATTAAATCAACCATTTTGTCCTTATGTGCTTCAATAAATGAAAAATTAAACTATAGGGCCAGCTTGATAGTTCAGCAGACTAAGCACATGCTTGGCAAGTGCAGAGACTAGCCTTTTAAACTGTTCATATCATAAAGGCAGAGGCTATGTATCTTGTCCTCTAGATCCCCAGAACTACATGCTGTGCAGGCCCCAGAACCCCGGGTGCACTGAGCTGACCACTGTGACTAGGTGTGGTGGCACTGGAAAGGCTGAAACAGGAGGATCACTATGAGTCTGACCTATGTAGTAAGACCCTGTAACAAATACATAATTTTTTAAAAATGAAAGCATAGAATTAATGCCATTTACCAAGTTTCATTTCCCTAACTTAATGTCCAGTTTTCCTCTTAAACTGTTCATATCTTAAAGGCAGGGGCCATGTATCTTGTCCTCGGGCTTATTGATGTAATTTAGAAGAGTATCTGTGAAATAAAGTTTTCAATCAAACAATTAAGCAAAGTTTTACATCCTTAGAATATGGAAAGAAATCAATAATTTAAAAAATCTGAGGTAGATTGTGCAAGTACCTGCATAATATAAATTTGCCATGGTACTGTATTACTTTCTTACCATGACAGGTACACCAAATATGTTTGAAAATCCTGACCTGTAGACATAGTATACATTATAATGCAGACCATCTAAATTTATTGCCAAGTTAGCAATGAATCCAGGGCCCTTGACCCCCCTATCACTGACTCACTTAAGGCACAGGTTGCCCCTTTTTTTTTTAAGATATGGGGAAAAAACTTAAGTGACTATAGCTAAGATTTTTTGTAATCCAGTTATGAATAAATAAGTTGTTTTCTTTTTGTGGAACCGGAGATTGAACTCAGGCCCTTGCGCTTGCCAGGGAAGCACTTATTCTACTGAGCTATCTCCCCAGCCCCTTCTTTTTTTTTTTTTTGCAGAACCAGGGATCAAACTCAGGCCCTTGCACTTGCTGGAGAAGTGCTTACTCCACTGAGCCCCCTCTCCGGCCCCCTTTTAAATTTTTTTTTAAAGAGATATCTGTATTTTACGTTATTGATATGTTCACTTATACCATTTGCTTTGGGTACCATCCCTTTTTTTTCAGTACTGGAGATTGAACTCAGGACCTTGTGCTTGCCAGGCAAGTACTTATTCTACTGAGTTATCTCCCTAGTGAAAAAACAAATTATTATCAACCTCTACATTTAAATTTAGAAAGTTCTATCTGAAGTGTTGAACAGCATTAAAGAGCAACAGGTCCTATCTATGTGTTACGGTTTATATCTAAGTGTCCCACAAGAGCCTCATGTGCTCTGAGGCAGGGCTTTAAGGTGACTGTATTATGGGGCTTATAGCTGAGCTGCTATTAGGAGGTGGGACCTGGCCAGAAGAGGCCGGTCCCTAGAGGTGTGGCCTGGAAACATTTTTCTCCCTCCCTGGTTCCTCCCTTGATTTTTCTGATTCCTGGATGCCTTGCCTTGAGCAGTTCCCTTCTACCTTGCCATCCCGTCACCCTGCCACCCTGCCTTGGAGCCAGTGGACAATGGACTGAAACCTACACAAACTGAGCTAAAATAAACTTCTCTAATTTTTGGCTGTTGAGTATTTTCTCTCAACAACAAGATAAAGACACTGACTGTTAAGCATCATAGACAATTAAAATAATGTTCACACAAATTGGTAATTTTTTCAAGCAGAAAATGCAACAATACTTTATTACAAATAAGCATTTAACAAAAATTTAGTTGAGAATGTACAGTACTGTTAAGCAAGCCATAGAAAACAAAAGAAATAAGATACCAGGGGTGCCGGGGAGATGGCTCAGTAAAATAAGCACTTCCCTGGCAAGCACAAGGGTCTGAGTTCAATCCCCGGTTCTGAAAAAAAAAAAAGGTATCAGGACCTAAAACTCTCATTTAAAATCCCACCAATTTTATCTTACACATAATAGGTACATAGTACATATCAACTGAACTCAAACACTCTAAAAGATATGCTTGCAAAATGTGTAATGTTGTAGTAGTAAAGTACAATTTTCAAATATGAGATTTTTGTCTGTCAGATTGTTTAAAAGCCTTTAAAAATATGATACGCAGAAGCTTGCCCTGAGGGAAAAGTAAGATGGATAATAGGTTACAAAATCTTTATACATTTCCACAACAGCATTTTGAAACTGGAAAACAGCAAATAGTTGTGGAAAGAAACCGAATGAACATATTAATAAAAATTCAGTGCATTCACAACTACCTGATGGAAAATTTGAAGCACCTTTTCCCTAGCTTCGTAATATGAAACATATGAATTATATAGGCCTTGATCTTCAGAAACTTAAGAAAACTTCAAGTCATAAGCCAAAATGTTACCAGATAAAGAAAAACTTGGTATAAAAATTACTACTGTAAGGCCACTGTTTAAAGTTCTTTCATGTACAGACACTATACAATTCAGATACTTCTGCTTTTATTACATAAACAAAACTTTGAACATATAAAACTCTGCATATAACTTGGTTAAGTTCTCTAGATGAAACCATGCTCAGAGAAAAATGCATCAAATAATGCCCTTCAAGTGACTGTACTGAAACATTTTGCAAAACAAATTATAGTAAATACAACTTTTAAATTGAATACTGTAATTTAAAAGCAATTGGTAAGTGTAAAAAAGTTGTAATATTCCACTAAAAAATAGTTTTTATCAAGGAAGTTACAGTATTAGTGCCTTAGTGCCAATTCTAAATCCTGATAAAAAGAGATGCTCCCAATATCCTCTTGTAGTGGCATTTTCATCTGCAATAATTCCAAATTAGGTTTCTGTGGCAACATTTGTATATTCCTATTGAGAGAAAACAAGAGAAATACAGACTTCAAAAGAAGAGTCAAGTTGTAACATCTGAGTTAGAATTTACAGTGCAATTTTCAAAACAGTTTAATTAATAGAATACTACTTGCACCTCAAGATCTCCACAAAGGTATGTGGGATCCTAATGATGCAAAGTACTAACAGAACATGGTAGGTAAGACAAGAAAAAAAGTATACCATTAAATAAATTGATGAAAACAGCATACAGCTATCTGGGTGAGTTCAGTGGGGGGCTTTCCTGGCATAAATTCAAGATTCTGAAACCTCAGTCTCTCCATGCTGGAGTCTGGTGTGACACAAGCTCAATCTCAAACTAGTATTTTATCTTTCCCATCATATGGTATCTCTAATTTTAAAACAATATGGATTCTTCTAATAACTGACAGCTACAGAGAAAGCTATCAGAAGGGAAAAAGTTTTCTTGCATGTAGACCTTTACCTATAAATTTAAAAGATGAAAAATTTCACTAAATTTTGGAAAAGGGATTCCTATAAATGGTAACACTACAATTAAAGGGTAATGAACATGGATTTTGTATTGTGATGCTATGTAAAATATTAAATTACTAACCATAAGCTAGACATAAGACCATGCAACTAATAATAAAAATGGTAGAATGACATGGTTTTCAGGGACATTAAAATAAAAATTTATTAATATATACATCCTTACCTTTTCCTATGATCTTACATTATCAAAACTGAAAGAAATTTCCAATTTGATTTAATTTTGGTATTTATATTAGTATGGAGCTATTTTTTAAAGCAGAAACTGTGCTGATGGAAAGTTTTTATTTTTCTATTTTGGTAAATGAAATGCTCAAAACACAATCATACATATTTTGTCAACATCACACTAAGAAATGCTTACATTGTAAAAGGATGTATGAAAGAACATAAACCACCAAATAAAACAGGGAAGCCAGAGAGCAAGGCTCCAGGTCACACATGCCCAGTGGTAATGATGACTTTAAGAACATTCTGCACACATTAGCTTAGGCACAGCAGGCATGCAGTAAATTCTCGTTGGCTCCTGTGATTTTGGTCACCATTTTATCTTTGTACTCCATGACTGTCAAGGTTTCTTTCAACCCCCAACACATCTTAACTTCCTGCACTGTCTTCATACCCTTGCCAGTCTTCCTTTCTTATCTATGGGTAGTGATCAGAAAGACACCTAGCTTATAGGAACCTAAGAACTGCTGGAGAATCCAGGGTGCTCCTGAGGAACTCCACGCCACCTCATCAAATGTACAGCTGTACAAGTTTTTCTGAGGCAATGTTCGCAGAGGTGGTTTCAAGAATTCTTATTAGACTATTCATCCTCTTCTGATACATCATCAGGCCAACAAAAGTGTCTACAAACTTTCTGTGATAAGCAGAAGATATTTGAGAGAGGACACTTGTAAATGTTAGTGGATAAAAGACTTATTCCAGGGTAATAGATACCCCCATCTTCCATGCTAAGCACAGAATCCAAGACAAAAAAACAGTAAAAGGGACTTGCAGCATCAAAATGAGATTAATATGACAAGCACATTAACAGTAAGAGTTAGCTTTACATTTTCTACTGCTGATTGGTAGTCTTACCATTTTACTTTTTTTGGTAGTCTTACTACTTTATAGGCATCTGGGAAGCCAATGTAATTTTAGGAAGACATTTTTTTTTCTGGTAAGTGGAAGAAGAGGCCATATTAGGATCCACTACCATCAGTCCCCAAGGTTTTTTTTGTGCTAGAGACAGGAAGCATAGTCTGATGGTACAATAACTAGACTGCATTACAATTAACAAACACAAGATGTAAATTTAAGCTATCAATGATCAGTTTAGGCACTTCAATAGGGAAGGAGGTGGCTGGGGAGACAACTCAGTGGTCTGAGTGCCTATCTGGCAAGCTCAAGGACCCTGGTTTGATCTCTGGTACCACACATCATGCCAACCCCAGAACCCCAGGCACACCATGCCAGCCACTTAAACTGGGCATGGTGGTGCATGCCTGTAATCGCAGTGCTGGGGAGGCTGAGTCAGGAGGATCACTACAAGTCCAAGTTGCGAAGCAAGACCTTGTAACAAATAAAAGATTTTTTAAAAATTTAAAAATAGAGGAGGGTAAAGAGTCTAGACAAGAACCACCTAAGCGGGGCCAGGGAGATGGCTCAGTGGAATAAGCGCTTCCCTGGCAAGCACAAGAGCCTGAGTTCAATTCCCAGATCTGGAAAAAAAAAAAAAAAAAACCACCTAAGTATTTTCAGTGGACTTTGAGGCATGTAGGAATAAGTAAATTTATATCTGATTTCAGGGCACTTAGATTAACTATTTAATCATACATTCATAATTAGTCTAGGTAATATCCTACTGTGAAAAAGATGAAATCCATAACAAATAGAGCAAAAAGCCAAAATGTGCTGAGATGTTATCTAGATTAAGGTGTCTTTCTAGGGTAGGACCTTCAAAGTTTCCTCTGACACTAATGCTTAAGATAAAAAGTGATACAAATGCAGATTAGGCAAATAGCACAGGGCTTAAGTGCTTGCTTAGCATGTGCAAGGTCCTGGGTTTGATCTCCAGCATGACAGAGAAAGGTGATGCGCTTTCTCATAGCCAGCAACTCCATTTGGCATAAATGTCTTTAATTTAAGGAAAAAGAGAAGCAACCTTAAAAGAAGCCAAAATGTTAGGCCTTCACTCTGTAAAATAGCTGATGGGTCCAAGCCATATTAGTTTATCTACACAGTATGGGATTTCAGAATAGCATAATACTATTAGGATAGCTTAAAGGGAAAGTTATCCTTAAGTACTTTACTTTAGACCTTGGTAATGCCTTATTCCTTTCCCTAAATTTAGAAAAATGAAGTATAAGTGTTAAGTAGGATGCTAATAGAAGGAACTTCATTTAGTGCTGTTCTTATAGGGTTGGGGATATAGCTCAGTGGCATAAGTGCCTGCCTGGAAAGTGTAAGGCCCCAAGTTCAATCACTGGTACCCCCCACCTCCAAAAAAAAATCTATAAAACATCTGGCTTTGGCTTGGCTACAGGCACTGACACTGGCCAGATTAACAGTCCAGGTCAAAGTCACTATAATACAAAAATATATGAAATATCCATAGCAGTAAGGCTAAGAAAAAGAGTATTCAACACTGGAAGAGTAGTATAGTTTGCTTTTTAAAAAGCCACTGGGTTGGGACTACTTCTTAAAGCATTTAAATGGCAGGAAAGAACAACAGGAAGGCTGGGTTGTGACCCACAGAGGACTCTTAATTACAACTGCTACTTTATAGATGGCACAGAAACTAAGCCTTAAGATAGAAGACTTTAAAAATTGTAGCTCCTTCTAAGACACACTTCCTATTTTCTTTTTTTTCCCTTCCTATTTTCTATGCTGAAGGTCTAATTTCCATTTGTTGTGAAGGGCAATGAATTGGAGCAAACAGTATAAAGAAGTGTAGTTAAGTAAGCATTCAGGAGCCCCAAATCACCTAAAATATACAGGTAAAAATACAGTTAAATGAAACTAAAACTCAAAGCTCACCACAGAGCTAACAGACAACAAAGACAGCATGCACCAGAAAATCAACCTTGCAACTGAGGAAAAAGCCTGTCTTGGCCTTGCCCCTCAAGTGGAAATCACTGAGTAGCTTCCCGGAGAACAGTCCAGCTGCAGCTGGGACTGGGAACAAATGTGTAGAAGATCTTCTACAAAGAAACTTTTCCCACAAGGCAGGGAGAGAAGCAGGAGCTCTAGCCAAGCCCTGCCACAGACTGACAATAAAGGAGAATATGAGGGGGAAATGGGTCCACTTTCACTTGTGTGTTTTTTAAAAAGAGATGGCTTTCCTAAAACCATGCTTGACACACACAGTGAAACTAGAAAGACTGTCCAAGATGCTCAGTTAAAACTGAGGAATGGAAAAGACTGTAAGATATTCTATTTAATTCTACAATCCCCAAAGTAATCAACTGCCATTGGTTAGGCCCATCTTTTGAAAAATGGTCAGTTTTATTAAAACCATTGCAGAAATTCAGTGTAAAGGCTTCATAATCATGAATATTTCGAGAAAGATCTGATTCTAAATTTACAAAATGACAACTGGGCTACTTTAAAAAATTAGAAATACGCACATTTGTTAGAAAAAATAGCCTAAATTTATGAACAAAATGAATTTTATTTTATTATTTATTTATTTTGTATAGGGTCCCACTACATAGGTCAGACTCGTAGTGATCCTCCTGTCTTCAGCCTCCCCAGTACTGGGATTAGAGGTGTGCACCACCACGCCTGGACTTGGGAGGCTCAGTGTGCCTAGGGGTGGGGCCAACACATAAAATGAATTTTAAAAACTGACAAATATGCTTAATTTAATGGATGTAATGCTACTATTCTCACTTAACATGTAATTACATGGAAGACAATTTCCTATTTATGCTGCATTTTCAAATACTAAGATGGCTAATTTAAATAAAATCAATATATAACTAAACGAATATGCAATTCAAATCACCAAGTAAAGAAACTTTTTGTTAAGAGTAAGCATGATGGAATCTACCTCAGTATCCATTGATGAATGGATGGATAAAGAAAACGTAGTATATTCACACCATGGAAAACTATCCAGCTTTTGAAAAGAAAATCCTGATCTTTGTGATAATGTGGATATACCTGGAAGATATTACCTAATATGAAATAGGCCAGGCACAGAAAGAAAATTACCGTATGTCCTCATCATACATACAATCTAGAAAAGTTGCATAGAACTAGAGAGCAAAATGGTAGTTACCAGGGGTGGAGAGGATGGTGATAAGATTAGGAAGATACAACATATTATATAGTTGTAAAGAAAGTAAATATAAGGGGACAGGGAGATGGCTCAGTAGAAAAAGCGCTTGCCTGCCAAGTACAAGGGCCTGAGTTCAGTCCCTGGTTCCACACACACACACAAGAAAGTAAATTTAAATGTTTTCACCACAAAAAAATAAGTATATAAATAATGCATAGGCTAAAAACCTTTCACATTGGATACATATCAAAACTGCAAGTTTTATACTGAAAATATACATATATATATTTTTTTAATTTTTACTTCTCAAAATTAAATTTTTAGAACATATATAATGGAAACGACTTACAGCACTGTGAATGCATTTAAGGTTACTGAACTGTAGATTTAAATGATTAAAATGGCAAATTCTACACTGCACATGTTTTACCACAATTAAAAATATGTGAAAAAAAGCGGGGGATGAGTTAGTATATTTTGCCTAGAGTCAGTTCAATATTTTCAGATAATTCACACTGCAAAAGACTAAAACATATTAGTTAAAAATATGCCTAAAGTAAAAAGTTCATACATCTAGCATATTAAAAGTATTTGAGGTATAATAGCTAAAAGCATTTTAAAGTTAGTCTCACAATTCAATTAGCTCGACTGCTTGAAGTTTTTACTCAACCATCATGCTATAAGAATATCTTAAAAATGTAGGTTGTTTCTTAAATTTAAATGAAAAACCCAATTTATCTAATGAACACAGATGATTTAGAAGTTCAGAGTCAGACCAGCCAGATAACTAAGCAGATTAAAGTGCCTGCTTAGGCAGACGCAGGGGCTGGAGGTTCGATCCCAGGCCAGCTGTGCCAGCCCTGCCCCCAGGGTGCACCGAGATGGCGATGGAGACTGGGTGTGGTAGCACATGCCTGTAATCCCAGAGGTTGGGAAGCTGAAAACAGGACAATCATTATAAATCTGATCCCCATGTAGTGAGACCCTGTAGACCCTGTACTAAATACAAAAAAGAGAAGTTCAGAGTCACTCAATATTTTTAAATGACTGCAATTCAACTAACCTGTTCTTTTCTTGGTGCCCTGTTTCTGAATTTATTAGTGACAAATCCCCTTGGACCAGCAAACCGTAAACGCTGATATTTAGCCTGAATGCACAAGCTCTTTTGTACCAGGTCTGATTTATATTGGGGCTGGAATCTGCTACCTCTAAAGTAACCCTGTAAAGGAAAGAAAGAAATTTTAGCAAATCTATACTTGTCAAGTCTACTTTACTAGTATAACACATTGGAAGATGACTGGCTTTTGGAGCTGCCCTGGAGTCTAGGCACTATAAATATTAAGCGGGAAGGGGTTCATGACGGCATTAAAGCTAATTTCCCTCAACTGATTTCCTAACTTATTTTATATGCAATTTAAAAATTATTTTTAAAACAAAATCAATTTCTTAAAACTGTTAAAAGAATTTAGAATAGTTGAAATTCATCATCCTAAAAATATAATTTTCAAAATTTCTAATGAACTAAAATTATTCTTTTGATTCATAGCGATAATGTCAAATGCCAGTGGGGAAAGAGGACATTACAGATCAAATATTTTTAACTTTGTTCTTGTCAATGCCTTCAAATAAATCTACCATAAAAAAACACATTAGAGCTGATATAAATTATAAAGACTAATTCCTATCCTGCATACTGTCTAATATTATAATAGACCTAACAGGACAATGAATATTTGTTTTCCAAGTGGCTGATGAAAGAAACTGGTCCTGTAATTTAGTGCTAAGGGTAGAGGAAGGAAGAGTCTTCAGTGTTGGCAGACATGAACTGATCCTCTCCAAATCTTTCCTGAACAATTCTCTCAACCTCTCTCCCTTGCTCCCTGGAACATACATTCTTCATGATCACTTGCATTTCCAAGCATCTTCTATAACAATCTAAAACAAAAGGGAGAAGTAGCCCAAATGTTTACAGATGGAGTCCATCTGTGCTACACTAAGTCTTAAAGCCAGACATAGTGGTACATACCTGTAATCCTACTACTCTGGGAGACTGAGGCAGGAGAATTACAAATTTGAGGCCAGAATGGCAACTTAGTAAAATATCAAGGCTGTCTCAGAATAAAAATGAAAGAGGGGTAAGGATACAGTTCTAAGTACAAAGGCCCTGGGTTCTAACACAAGCAACAAAAACAAACATCACACCTTGACTTGCTAGCTCACTAGAAGAGGCTACATATTAAGCTCTTGATTACTGTAGGGATTTCTCCCCATAATCATCCAATTAAATCCTCCTATAAAAAATAAGTGGGTGGGGCTGTGGGTAGAATGATAAGAGTACTTGCTAAGTATGCACAAAGTCTTCCTTTGCTGTTAAAGTACCCAGGCTGGCCATGAACTTGTGATCCTCTTGCCTAATTTTGTTTGTACCAGGAATCAAACTCAGGACACTGTACTGTTCAGGCATCTAGGTGTTGTGCCACTGATCTACAACTCCAGCCCTGCCTAATATATTTGAAACTTAGTTTTTGACTTAATTCAAGTTTCATCCTTAGAGTACTTAATAACAGGAAACAAATCATGGGAAACACTGGCAAACAAATATACAAATAATATTATTACAATAGAATAAAAGAATGATTCATTTTTTCACAATTATTTTAGAAACAGGAACATCATACATAATAGAGCACTAGGTTTACCAAAAGTATGTACTGCAGGCTTATTTTCCTAAAGATACAGAAAATTTCAGATTAAAGGGAATCATAATGGTATAACTTCATTGAAACTCTACACAGACTTGTTATATCAGAGCTAACCTTGAGATTTACATGGTCTTTTTAAATACATTTTATAAGCTGATTACTATCTGGCTTCGAATTAGTCTAATTCATGCAAAAACAAACTTTAATAAAATAGTTTCTTTACTTAAGATTATTTCTTTACATGATTTTACTAAAACAATTGTGATCATCTAAGTAATCATATGACATACAACTTTGAATGATCAAAGGGAGAATTATTGCACATATATTGAAAATATTCCAATAATTAATGCCAAAGAATCTTCCCTTAAGAGAAAGGACAAAAGAAAATAAATCATGTGATGATCTTAGAAAAATGCAATCACATATGTCTAACTAACAAGAACAGCAACATGTACAGGCACTTAGATATGAGCATCCATCTATACTGACTGTAGGTGATTCAGGCATCACATTCTCAGTTGATGTGATGTCTCCTTACTCAAGAGATTAAAAGACTGTACAGAACATGTCTATATACACTGTGGCCATAGCTCTCAAAGAAAACCTAATGTCATACATGTTTTAGGACATAAACAATGGAATAAAATATAATCTATGCAATACCCACAAATTATGTTACTTCTAGTGAAAAGAAACATTTCAGCATCTAGAAATTTTGACTATCAAGAAACCAAATGTTACCAGACCACTCATCTACATTTCTACTCTAAGGTTCTGGGACAGGTTATACTACCTTTCTGCTCATACTAACTTCTTCCTAATGAGCTCACTACTATAGCAAGTCCATCTATTACTTTCACAAAAAACACTCAAGTTCTTTTCTTTTCTTAGGGGGAGAAGAGATTGGTAACTCAGAGTGAAAAGTATGAATAAAGGATCTGTCAGAAAAAGAAATTCAGTCATTCATATTTTTATAAAATCTCAACTTTTGTGAGAAAGGGAAAGGTAATACTTTGTGCTATAATTTTAATTCTATTTGTCTGGGGGATGAGATGTTCTGGATAATCAAAGATGTTGATAAAAGCCATCATTTATATCAGATAAAGGTGCACAAATAGCTAGAATTTGGTGATAAAATATGCTTTAACAAAGCGTCTGGACCAGATTTCTTTCAGAGATGTCCAGAAGACCTCTGAAGACTGTATGTCTGTAGGCAGAGCCATTTCAGTCCGTGAGTCCTGGAGAAAGCATGATCACTCTGGACTTATATCTCAGAGCTTAGGAGCTAGGCTTAGCAGCAGTCTAGGATCTTGCCTGCCCCCCTACCTAGAGTCATTGCACTTGTATCTGTTTATGCATTTGTATTTCCACATAATATTTGAAAAAAAGATTTCTTTCACTGGTTAAAATATTGAAAATCAAGTCCTGAGGGAAGAGGTCATAATTAAACAAATTAAAATTAACTATAAATATTAGAAATACTCATATAAACCAGAAACAGTTTATAGCTATTTGAAAGAATACCATAAACATAGGTTTTAAACATAATACTGTATGCAGAGCATAAACCCAAAGTCTGACTTAAATTAAAAACAACACTCAATACCTTTAAAGGTCTTTTAAAGCCGTGATGGTTTCTTTCAACTCCAAATAATTTTTGAGTAATATCTTTTTTTTGCATAGTATAATTCTGCATGAAAAAAGTATTTCTATAGGTTAATATATGTTAAGATCTATTTCAAAAACTAGTTTGACCATTTAAAAGACACCTATTTAAATGCATAGTATTAAGAGCACAAAGCAGGGAGCAGGGAGCTTAGCTATAGGAACACACATGCTTTTTTTACATGATGCATGCTAATTTGTGAGAGCCAATTTCACTCACACCTGTGAGAAGTGAAAGAAAACACACTTCTATATAAAATAGGTTGACTTTTTGAATATGGCTATACATCAGCCATTTAAAAGAGAAACCCATTATTATCATGAGTTGCTAAAGAGGTCCTGCTACCTAAGAAGAACAAAAATCCTCAATACAAGGGAGGCAGGTTTTGCTGACTTTAGCTTCTATAATTCTATCCATTATTTATGGAAGACAGCTGCCACTTTGTGAGCTGCCCTATGAAAGGGCAAATCTTTAAGATAGTAGACTAGTGCTTGACTAGGGCTGGGATCAAGGAATAACTAAACAGGCATGAGAGCTCTTATGAGATGATGGAAATATCCTAAAATTAGGTTATGATGATGGTTAGACATCTTGGCAAATGTATTTTAAAAAGTCACTAAATTGTATCCCTAAAATGGAAGAATTTTAAGATAATGAAATTCTTTTTTTTTTTTTTTTTTTTTTCTTTCTTTCTTTCTTTCTTTCTTTTTTTTTTTTTTTTGCCTTTTTGAGACAGGGTTTCACTATGAAGTTCAGGCTGGCCTTGAAGTCACTTTGTAGCCCAAGCTGGCCTTGAACTCACAGATATCCTCCTCCCTCACCCTCCCAAGTGTTGGGGGTATAGGCCTGTACCACCACAGTCAGCCTTAAATTCTATCTTAATCAACTTATTCCCAAAAAACAAAAAACTTTAAAAAGTCAGTATTATAATAAATCTAATAAAATTCTACTAGATCAGAGATGAATATTTCTTTTGTTGTAGTAACTATAAGCCTTAATAGACTTATAACACACATTTAATGAATAGTTACAAAGAATATGAAGAGACTTAAGGAAAATGTAAAAAAAAAAGAAAAATCTGGAGCACCAATGTTACCATGTAAGGATTCTGAATAAATTTTCTAAAATTTGATTTTATAAAATGTGTAGGGTTTTGGAATCCATCAGTATGAACATTCTTCACCTTTGAAAAACTGGAATGTTGATCATTCCTAACAAAATGAGAGAGAAAATAATCTTTTATTAGTTAATCTTTATCTAACAAACAACAAAAAAAATTAAAAGCACCTTCAGAGACAATAAAGTAGCACAACAGTAAACTTCAATGATCTACCACTACTAAAATTACAAATGACACTTCTTTTGGCTAACAAAATCATTTTTGAACAAACATTATTTAGCATAGTTGGAAGTTAGCAATAGGGAAGAAACCACCTGCTTGTACTGGAGTTCTCAATCTGAGGTTCAAGAACAGGCTTTCAGCATCTATAACTCCTAAGTGCAATGTATGTTTTCTGAGGAAAGTATATCACTGCTCTGGGGCCTTCGGCAACATTATCCCTTTGCTGAAAGATTCCTGAGAAGAGGCACCAATGGCCCACTGCCCAGACCATTTACTGAGCATGGGTCTGACCCAGGGTTGTCTCACTAGAGGAGCTGAGGGCTTTTACTGCTTCCTAGGCCACAGTGGCAGAGGACATGTTCCCCTTCTGCTAACATCTCAGGGTCCTGAAGCTACCAAAAGCTTCTCCCAAGCAGCCTCATCTAGGAGGGAGGGCCCCAGGAAGCCTCATGTTCCACAGCCACTGGGGATTCCTTTCCTTTTTACATCTTGTATCTTCCAATGATGCTCCTGAAGCCCTTCCAAAGTCTTCTGCAGGTCCCGACCCCTGGTGAACCAACTGCTCACTATCTCAGCCCTGCTTTAGTTCCTCCTGTGTACTCTCCCTGGCATCAGGATAAAATCCACTTTCACCATGACTCTGCTTGGGCCCTTGCTGCCCTATCACCTGCCTTATTTCAATCTGCCCAAAACAGACATTGATTGTTCAATGATATTTACCTACACGTGGCTGCTGGCACACACCACCATCTCTCCTGTTTCCTTTACACCTACAGTTTGTTCCTTCTGAAAGCATTTCCTTCCACTTAAATTAATTTCAAAATTTAGCTCCATTTGTACCACTTCCATGGAAGACTCCTAAACTTGAGTCCTCTGCTATGTGCATGTGGAACACTTTTGGGATCTTAACACCATGTTGTGACTATTGGTATACCTGTGTGTTTAATGGTTCTCTGTGATTCCTTCAGAGGAAGCACTGTGGATGGTTCATTTTGTGGCCCCAGCTCTATTCCCAGAAATCGGCATGAAATAGATACTTAGGGTCTTTTGAAATGTTAGAAATTCCCCATGTCCTGTCAAAAATGCTTATGACATGATAGTAAGCTCAAATAGTAGGGTGTAAAGCTATGTACTTTCATGATACAGGGTCTTGCAATGTATTTCAGACTCACAGTGATGCTCCTATCTCAGCTTCCCTAGTGCTGGGATTACAGATGTGTGAAATCATGCCGGGTTTCAGTGGCCAGCACAGCACACCTGGGGTTCTGGGGCTGGCATGGCATGCAGTACTGGGGATCAAACTCAGGACCTTGAACTTGCCAGGCAGATGCTCATGCCGCTGAGCTATGTCCCCAGCCCTATACTTTCAATTATTTATTTATTTTTTTAAAAAAATTATTTAACATTTATTTATTGTGTGTGTGTGTGTGTGTGTGTGTGTGTGTGTGGCCAGCTCAGTCCACAAGGGGGCGGGGCTGGCTGGCATGTGGTGCGCTGGGGGATTGAACCGCGGTCCCTATGCTTTGTCAAGCTTGTTCCAAGTAGGTGCTTTAGACCACTGAGCCATCTCTCCAGCACCTACTTTCAATTATTTAAAAATATATGCTTAGAATAACAAATGACCAGAGATTTACAGAATATTAATAGTCATCTGTAACTTGTTAAATTAAAAATGCCAAGTGCTGGCAAGATAGCTCAGCAGACTAAGTGCCTGCTTAGGCAAGCACAGGGATCGGGGTTTCAATCCCCAGCACGACATGCTGCATCCTCATGTGTGCTGAGCAGGCCACCAAGACAGAAATCCCAGCACAGGGGAGGCTGAAAACAGGAGGATCCCTACGAGTCTGAGCTGTATAGTGAGACCCTTTATCAAATATATTAAATAAATAAGCCATATAGTTTCATACTTTATTGTATTTTTGCAAGTAATTAGCATTAACATATATGACTACTGTTATCAATAAAACAATGTACTTTTAAATATCCTGTTTGTGAAGTATTTATCAGATAAGGGGGTACAAGAGAATATCTATAACCTAAAATTCTGAAATTTGAAATGTTAAAATCTACAGCTTAAAAAAAAAATCTACAGCTTTTTGAGGGCCAAACTGATGCCACAAATGAAAAATTTTACACCTGACCACATATGACAGGTAACAGTCAAAAACACAGGCACTAAAAAAATATTCTACAAAATTTCCTTCTGGCTGTACACATAAAGTATTCATGAAATATTAATGAATTTCATGTTTAGATTTGGGTCTTATCTCCGACACATTTCATTACATACATGCTAATATTCCAAACTCAAAAAAAAAATTCTGAACTCTAAACCAAGCCTTTCAGATAAGGGATAATGAGTCTGAAGTATTTACAATAAATAATCTCACATCTCAACAACTTGATTTTAAAATGGGCAAAATGTAGGGAGTAATGGGGAAGATGAATATGATAAAAGGATGTGATATACTTGTACAAATCTGTCAAAATGAAACACATTAAGCTGCTTAATCAATAGCACTAATAAAAAAAGATGTGAAACAAAAATAAAATGGCAAAGGATTTAAAAATAAACTTCTCCAGAGAAGACAAAAATAGCCAATAAGTATATGAAAAGATGTTAAATGTCATTAATTATTAGGGAAAAGCAAATCAAAACCACAATGAGATAAGATTTTATATCTACTATGATGGCTATAATAAAAAAGATGATAATACCAATATTTAAAGATGATAATACCAATATTCAAAACAGCACACTGTACTGTCTATAATAGCTAAAAGGTAGAAATAACACAAATTTCCATAAACAGAAAAATAGTATCTATAATATTATTTAACCACTAAAAAGGAATGACAGGGGCTATGGAGATAGCTCAGTAGAATAAGTGCTTGCCTGGCAAGCACAAGGCCCTGAGTTCAATCCCAGTTCTGCCAAAAAAAAAAGAATGACATTTTTTTTAAAAAGGAATGCAATTTGGACATATGGTACAACATGGTTGAACCCTGAAAACATGCTAAGTGACACAAGCCAGACACAAAAGGATAAATTGCAAGATTCTACTTGAGGGACCTAGAATATGCGAATTTATAAGGACAAAAAGAAAAGAGGCTAGTAGGTGCAAGATAAAAGAAAGAATGGAAAGTTACTGCTTAATTGGTACAGATTTTCTGTTTGTGAAGATGAAAATTTCTAGACATGGATACTTGTAACAACTGCACATGAATACAATTAAGGCCAATGAATTATATACTTAAAAACAATGAAAATGGTAAATTTACATGTCTAGTTTTAAAACACTTTGAAAATCCTTTCACATATGATTTTTGGCCAAACAAACACCCAGTTTAACGATTCTATTGTATTTCCCAAGCCTCCCTAAAGACAGGTATGACCATGGGACTAAATTTTGGGCAACAGTGTTAAAGTGTCATATATAAATTTCATGGTCTTTAAGGGAAAGCCTAGAATGAGGACATGATGACTAGTGTGTATAAATACCTATCTTAAACCACGAGGAAGACCCCATCTATAGAGGATATAGGAGAAGCAAGACAAAGAGCCTGGTTCCTTGATGGGTCTTTCCTACCATCCCTTCCTATATAATTCAGGCTTTCTATTTCAATTTTGTATAACTTGACAAGGAAATTATTTTTCAGCTCTTATAATTCATTCTCTGCCTCAGCAACCATAGTGAACCACTAGTTCATCATTAATTCATTAATGCATTCATTATTTGCAGTACTGAGGATTGAAGCCAGGACCTTCAACCTGAGCTGTATCCCCAGCCTTTTACCCTCTTTTTAAAAATTTTTAGATAGGGTCTCAGATAGAAATATCCTACAATTTATCCTCATCTCTGTCTGCTCCTTGCAAAACATTCATTCATTCATGAACAAATATGAACAGAGCTCAAGGCAATGGGGATACAAGTGAGCAATGTAGGCACAGAGCTGGTCTTCAGGTTTGTAAAGGAAAATATTGTATGACATTTTCTCATGTCAGCGATAAAATCATTTTTATTTTTGTCAGAGATAAAAATCATTATTTTTTTCTGGATTTTTGTGGAAACCATACCCTGACTTTTTTTTTTTTTTGGTTGTACCAGGGATTGAACTCAGGACCTTGAGCTTACCAGACAACCATGTATTCCACTGAGCTATCTCCTTATCCCCCGACTGACTTGATTTAAAAGGTATTCTCATGCTATAACATGGATGTTGAAAACTTTATACTACATGGTCAGTCACAAAAGCTACATACTATATGATGGCATTTATATGAAATGTTAAAAATAGGCAAGCCTTATATATTATATAGCACAGCAGCTACCAGAGGTAAGGGGATGGAGTAGTAGGGACTGACAGCAAATGGGTATAGTGCTTCTTTGAGGGGTGATGGGATGTTTGGAATTAAATATTGCTAATGGTTTTACAACTGTAGATAACACTAAAAACTACACAATTGTTTGCTTTTAATGGGTGAATTTAATGGTACGCACCAGCTCAATTTTGTTTTTTGGGGGTTTTTTTTGCTCTAAATGCCTTCAGGGCAGGTTTGGCTGGCTTGAGTTGTGGGGATCGAACCACAGCAACCTGAGCCTGACTGCTTTGTTGAAGCAGCCACTTAAAGAACTGAGCTAAGGGGCAGGCCCCCCACCAGCTCAATTTTTAAAAACCTTCCTGGCTACATATGCCACAACAACTATCCAAAACAATGAAATAATCCAACAGACTCAGCGAAAGAGACCTTCCAGTATGAATCTTTGCCTGTTACAACACTATCATCAAAGCTAACATTAATATATTTAACACTAACCAGCCATTCTACTACACATTATTTGACTTAATCTTAACCACCACTACAAGGTAAATATAATTCCTCTTCTTACTTGACAGATGAGGCAACAGAGACTAAATAACTTGCCCAAAGTTAGTCACATTGCTAGGAGTCTAAGAGCCAGATGATGAAATTAGATCTAACTCCAGTGCTCAAGTTCTAATAATCTCAAAGGGTAAAAATATATCCTGAGGTATCATCTTTATGATATGCTATTTACATTAAATTTGTTTGAAAAATTCAGTTTCTTGGTAAACTCAGTTTCTTAAACTTGGTGACTTAAGAAAAATGACAGTTTGTGTCATTAAAAAGAAAAATCATGCCCTCAATTAATTGTATCATATTAGAGAAATAACTTTCATTCTGTAAGGCACAAGACTTTTATTATTTTAATTGTTTCATAGCTATAACATAGTTTCACTATCTTTTAAAGAGTCCTAAACTTACTGTCAGAATCAAGTTCAGTTTTAAGCAAGTTCTATATATTTGGACTAAGAATGAGATAGGCACTAACTTGACTTAAAAAGTCTGTCATATAGTAATTTGGCATCAATGATTATGGAAGAACAACCTGCTCTGTCCCTTTCTACTCATACTTTTCCACTTTCTGGAGATCCAAATAGTGTGAGAACTCTTGATCAAACTAGAAAATTTTCCCATTCAATTATATACCTCATAATCAATGCTGGAATTGCCATGAGTTCTACCAGCTCTCAGAACTAAAGATAAATGGGAGCCAATCTAGACTATTTGGAGCTCCTAAAAAAAGTATGAGGTTGTGAAAGCAAAGTGAGGATCTGCTAGTGATCTATTTTCCATGCATAGCATGAGTATTTTAAATGTGTCAGTTATTTAATAAAGAGTTGGTTTTATCATCACTTTATATATGAAGAGGCCTTAGGCACTCAATGAATTTGGCAGAGGTGAGGTTCTAATTTGGATATCCTGTGTTTTCTACTACAATGGCCCTTTTTATGGACAGATATCCACACAGATTCAGAAAAGAATAATGCATTGGCCTGAGGACATTTTGTACTATTGACACTACCTGGGAATCTAAAGGGCTGAATATATCCATTTCAATAATCTTAGAAACAAAAAGTAGGTACAAACAAAAAATAGCCCTGGGGTCTGCTAATATTAAAAAAGCTATTATACTTCTCACTATAAGTATGAAGATCTAAGATGCTCCCCTGTCCCATAATTTTTGTTACTTAAATCAAGCTGTATATGATGATCACAGAGTAACTTTGAAACATTTTAGTAGAATTAATTTAAATATATAAATGGATCTGAAGAATCAAATCCCTATATTAAAATAAAAATTATCACTTGCAAAGAATTGAAAACATGCTGAAACCAAAGGCTTCCTGGTAACATGATGGTTTTCATCTACTGATTACCTCTCTGTAGCATTAGCCATGTGAAAAATGTGCTCATCTTCATTCTGTAATCGTTCTTTTCTCCTCCTTTCAATGTCATGACGTAGGTCATTTGGATCTATTACTTTGACCAGAGTCTGAAGAATTTCGACAGAAGACAAACTATTCATATTACTGTTGCACAAAGACCATATCTAACAAGAACTTTAACTAAAAGTTTAAACAACTTATTTTGTACTCATCCTGCTAATATAAACTGATACAAATGTTTTGAGATACAATTGATCATACAGTCAGAAAAGTTCTTCACATTAAATCAGGGATTCTACTTCTGGGATCCTATCTCAAAAAAAAGGCTGTGTCTACAAAAAAAATTAAAAGCTATACTTAAAATAACAACTGAATTTCATCCCTGGTACCAGAAAATAAATAAAATCACAAAAAAGGCAACTTAAATGTTAAAAAATTTATAGCAAAATGGAATAATTAAATATATTATGACAATGCAAGGGGATAATGTTTAACCATTTAAATTAGAAACTATTGGGGGCTTGCCACTTAGCTCAGTTGTTTAAAGCTCTTGCTTGGGAAAACTCAATCAGGGCAGGGGATCACAGTTTGATCCCCAGCTCCACATGCCACACCAGAACCACACTTAAGGCAGCCTGAGCCAGCCAAAAAAAAATCCTTCTCAACTTTTTAGGGCTGACTTGATAGCTCAGCTGACTAACGTACTTGCTTAGGCAGAGCCCAGCAGTCAGAGCATGCTGGCCTCACCCAAGGGGTGCGCTGAGACAGCGATTGAGACTGGGTGTGGTGGCGTGTGTCTGTAATCCCAGCACTTGGGAGGCTGTAAACAGGACTGAGTCAAGTCCGATCTCTGTAGTGAGACCCTGTACACCCTACCCTTTAGACCCTGTCCTAAATACAGAAAAATAATTAAAAAATACAAAAGAAACTATTATGTGGAAATTAACATGGAAAAACATTTACTAAAAAAAGTTAAAACTTAAAAAAGGTTCAATTATGAGTTATGGGGAATTCAGAGATTGTACATAAAAGTAATGCTATTGCCAATTAAAAAGAAAAAGGTATATAAAGCTAGAAACTGTATACACTATGATGATGCATATGTTAAAATGTAAGATATAAGATAGCAAGAAAAGACAATCATACTGGACTCTTTTAGAATATTTTGCTGAGTTTACACACCTATAATATTTAAATGATGGAACTTAACAAAAAAAGGGTATACAGATGAATGTCCTTTTTGTATCTGTGTATTCAAAGTGGTGAGGATAGATACATAGTTACATTCTCTTAATGAATAGAGGGATTTGTTCTAATGGTATTTGTAAATAGGATATCAAGTCTGCATCTTGTACAGCAATTAACCACTAGGAAGAATGTATGCAATGTGTTAATTATTGAAACTGTCCTACCAATTTGATTTGAAACTGTCTCATTGCTATTTGTTTCTCAATAAAATTATGGAAAAAAAGAAAAGACAATCAAATATTTTGTATTAAACTGCTGAATTATAGATTAGTTTAAAAATCCTCAAATTTCCTCTAAGCTAACTATGCTGATGGTTAGAAAACTTTTGAAAATACCGCTCAATAAACCAGTCTATCTCAGTAAGTTTAATAAAAATTATAATCATTTTCTCAAGTAAAAAATTATTTATATATTCTGTCAGAAATATGTATATTTTTGGTACTGGAAATTGAACTCAGTACCTTGTGCTTGCCAGACAGGCACTTACATGCTACTGAGCTATCTCACCAGCCCTATCAGAAATAGATTAAAATCTTTGCTCCATAAAAACTCTTTATTTCCCATAAATAATTTAGCAGTTTCTTTTAGAACTTGACATACTTTTCAAAACTTTTAAAAGAGCCAGTTTCCTTTTTCCCTGGCTAGTCAAATATTCTAATTAGTAAGGAAATGGGAGGTGTGAGAAGTGTTGGGTGGGAACCAACCACACATGACAATTAAGAAATTTAGTGGTATTTCCAGTATTTTGCTAGTTCACATTCCACAGAATTTTTCAAACATTCTACAGTAAATAAATCAAATGAGACTTAGTTCCTTTAATTCATTCCATGCAAAATTAAAAAAAAATGTATTCCACATGACTGCTTTGGAAAAACACATACAGAACATACTTTCCATAAGAATCAATTTAGTTTTGTAATGAATATTATATACTATAATGCAGTATCAATAGTACAAAGCCATTATGCTTAGAGCCTGTCTCTTGGAGGGAATATTTTTGCCTTTTGTCAGTATTCTCACTCTAACCTGGCCAATAATCAGAGCCACCTGGAGAATTTTTAAAATTTCAAGATTCCTGAGTCTCAACTCTTCTTCCTGTATGTCAACTCCCTTTTGACTCCACCAATCCCTTTTCCCATTAATATACCAACAATTAGATAATCTTCCATCAAACATTATATTCACTTACCTGATTTGATTCATGTATCATAGTTTGTTTATTCTGAAGCTCAGCCAAAGATATATCTATTCTCCTAAAATAATACATTATATTATATTACAATTAAATATATCATGCACTAATTCCTGATTCTAATACTACAGAATAGAATTTGAAACAAAGCAGGTATGTCTTAGAGAAAGCAAAACAAACCTGTTACCAGGTGGGTTTTTGTCTATATGGCAGGGCATAAATAGCCTGTGAATAACATTATAAGGAATATTTAGTGTTTCTCAAATCACTAATTTATGCAACCTCCAACCTTTTTCCAGTGATATACTGAATTCTAACACTGCCTCCAGTCAGTTCACAGGACAGGGTACACCACCTGCTTGGATACATGCCAACAGAAGACAGGCTTTCATCAAGCTGCCCTCAGAACAGCCATTTGTAATCACAAGAAACAACCCATGATTTTAATAACTTGACAATCATCTTTCATTCTTGCAGCCAGAACTTCAATAGACCACTACTAGAGATTAGAAACAGCAGAATCAATGCTATATTTACACGTTAGCCAGTGGCTTCAATGCAACCTATTCTACCTATGTCTACCAGCCCACTATCTGCTTGGGTTGGCCTGGCTTTTATGTATAACATGCACTCTGAGAATCTACAAAAAATCAAGTGAGCAAGTTTAGGCAGCAGCACTTTCCAAATATGTTCTCAGGTTTTCTTTTTTCTTTTCTTTTTAATGAATTTAGGACAGGGTCTCACTAAGTAGATCAGACTCATAGTGATTCTCCTGTTTTCAGCCTCCCAAGCACTGGGATTACAGGCTTGTGCCACCATACCCAGTCTCAATCACTATCTCAGTTCACCCTAGGGTCAGGGCCAGCACAGCACTCTGGAAATGGAACCCTGGCCATTGTGCTCTGCAGAAGCAGGTGCTTTAGTCCACCAAGCTATCTGGCTGACCCCTAAGGTTAATTTTCAAGAGTTAAACAGGAGAGACCCAGACCGCAGGCCCAGCGAGTGAGAGAGATGACTGGGGCCATGGGATCCTGAACAGACCCAGAGCGCAGGCCCGGCGAGTGAGTGAGACAACTGAGGCCGGGATCCTGAACAGACCCAGAGCACAGGCCGGGCGAGTGAGAGAGACGACCCGGGCTGCGGGATCCTGAACAGATCCAGAGCGCAGGTCCGGCAGAGTGAGACGACCTGGGACCCTCCGGATCCTGAATAGACCAGGAGCGCAGGTACTGTGAGTGAGTAAGACAACCGAGGCCGCGGGATCCTGAATAGACCCAGAGTGCAGGCCCAGCACGGAACCCTTCAGCAGAACTCCCTGCAAAGAGGCTAGAGGCAAGACCTACCCAGCTGATTCAGGAGCAGAACATCTTGCAAGAGAGACAAAAGGGTTCAACTCTAAC